CGCAACATGCCATACTCGCTTCTTCTACCGGCAGTGGTACTCTTTCGGCTCCTCCATATGGCCGCTACGGTCATCGCAAGACAGGCAGCACGGATTCCGTGGCTTCAAAGGGAAGAAATGGCCAAGAAAGTCATCGACCGCCGAACCTTGAGGTTGCTGGCAAACAGTCTTATGATGAAACTCCCATAAGTGCGAAAGAGCTCACTAAAGGGTTCTTAGACAGGTTTTGGAAGCGGAAGAAAGATGATTCATCACATCCGTCACCCGAGGATCATAATTCAGAATCACCTACGAGCCCCCTGAACTATCGACATATTCCACCAACTTTACCTTTTGCTCGGGCCAACAATAACAGCAATACGTCGCTTGAAAGACCCTCATCTGCGTCTACCCAGATGTCAGATCACGAAAAGATCGCTGTGCGGAGGAGATACGTTATGGTCACTCCCGATCAATGGAATTATCGCTTAGTTGACGTCACCGAAGCTGAAACTGCCGAATCACTACGAGAAACAATCTGCAGAAGCCTCCGTTACACGGATGCAGACATGGCCCAGATCTACCTCACAGAGCCTGGCCAGATCGAGCACGACGAGCCTCTGTCTGATTCGATGCTGGTTCTCTCCAAAACCTCGAGAGCAGATTCTGCCGGCACGCTGAAGTTTTTTGTAAGGCGTGGTCCTACATCAGCCGCTTTAGTACCTCCGCATTCAGCGGGCCTGGGTATTGGCATGTCTCCATTAGGAACGCCACCCGCAGGAAGTCTTTTCCCCAGAAAAGCGTTGGATGAAGAAAGCTACACACGGCTGAAGACGAATAGCCGAGTCCGTTCGAGATCGCCACCGATGAACTCCAGACAGAATACGCTGAAAGCTGACAGCGCTACTCCAAGAGATGTGCAAAAGCCTTTCGAAGGCGCAAATGGTAGTCCTAGATTTGTGTCTGAGTCTCCCACTGGAGCCTCGGCGAAAGACCAATTGCAGTCTCTCAAACCTGGTCGCGAAAATGGAGCAGTGTCAGACGCTGAGTGGGGTCAATGGCTACAAGCTGCTTACGAAGAACACCAGAATAACACGGAGAAGAGCGGCAAAGCGTATCAACAAGGAAGACAAGCAAAGGCCAGGAAAGAGCCATCGCCCATCGATGTAGGGTCTGCCAGCATCAAACGAGATGGTGTCATCAATTTTGACACTCCTCGACTTTCGCCATACGAAGACAAGAGGCCTGAGCCTTTAGTACCGCTGAGAAAGCCTCCAGCGCCTCCTCCAGGATCTGTTATGCTAGAGAAGGCTAATTCACTGAGCAAAAGAACTAGCGAATCGATCCGATCCTCAATATCCAGCCAGCCTGACATGGCAAAGAGAAGGTCGCTAGGGGATTCAATCGCTGAAGAGACAGAAGAACGAGGCCGTCGAAAGGCCATTGCGGCTACACCATCTGTCAGCGCTGGTATCGGAGCGGCGTTAGCCACTACCGTTGGGAAGCCTATTGGATCTAGGCGGCATATGTCCACCCGGACTTCCAATGACAGCGGGAAGCCTTCTCCGTCTCTGCAGAACGTTGGCTTTGGGCAAAACGGGTCTAGCAAGAACAGTCCAAGTGGGTCCCCCAAAAGCCCCCGCTTCATGTACGGTAAAAAGGACATTGAGTTCACCGTTCCTGACTATGAAGAAGACGATCTAGAAAATGCAAATAGTCGGAAGCCTAGCTTGGCCTTGCAGACGCAGATGCCAAAGAACCCGTCTATCGAAAGAATGCGGCGTGGTCCATCGCCATCAATTAGTCCAAGCTCTCAACATCCGCCGTCTCGCAAAGGCTCGGTATTTGGACGACCGAAATCTTACGGTCCTGCCTTCTCATTCAAGGAAAGCGAAGTTACCTTCGACCAAAAGCCTAGCCAACAAGAGAAATCTGACGACTCTGACGATGGACTCTTCGCGAAGCCTCTTGCAAAGACTGTAACAAAGAAGTCTTCTGCATCAGAAGATGAATCAGGAGTACAGAGGCGACCAACACTTACCCTCAACACGGAAGGTAGTCAGCGCAGGCTAATGAAAGGACGATCTGTCACATTTAAGGACCCCGAGAATTCGGCGAGCACATCCACTGTGCGGTCCAGTGAGACGGTTGATCTTGACAATGAAGGCCACCCTGTTGTTCAGCCCAGTAATCCTGACTCGAATACATCTGCTACAACGTCGGCAGACTACCCGGATCCAGCGAAATTGGCGAGGCGGCAGTCATTCGCCAGGGATGATGTTTGGGCCAATCGTCCACCAGCAGAGGATCTACTAAACAACCTCGACGCTTTCTTCCCGAACCTTGATCTGGATCAGCCTGTTGTAGAAGACCTCGTCGGCTCGCCACCCGTCTCTCCCGATGCTGGCGTAGAGTCTAATCCAGTGGACAATGGCGCTGCTCCGTCAGGACAAGCACAACGTTTGATCAGGACATCGCTGTACGATCGAGTACGTCCAGACTCCATAGCGGAGGAGCCGGAGACGCTGGGTTCTGAAGATTCTACGCTGAAGAGCCGAGCTACGATGCAATCCATGGCCCAGCGAAGTGTGCGCAAGAGTGGAGGTTTAGGCCGAATGAAGTCCATTCGTGAGGTAGCCCGTGGAGCCTACGAAGGCTCGTCGAAAAGGAACACTCAAGTATCAACAAGCTCCAAGTCGGGCGACATTCTGCGGCGAAGAAGTACGAAAATGTTCGGAGCGAAAATCAATATGGTCAAGCCGGGGAGGGGGAGCAGAGTTAGTCTAATTGAAGCGGTTCCAAAAGACCTACCACCAGGCATCAATTCCTTTCAAATTGGTAGGGGTCAATTGATTGGCAAGGGCAGCTATGGCAGAGTCTACCTAGGTATCAATCTTACAACAGGAGACTTATTAGCGGTTAAGCAAGTCGAGGTCAATCAAAAGGCAGCCGGGCAAGACAAAGACAAAATGAAGGAAATGGTAGCGGCACTCGATCAAGAGATTGATACCATGCAGCACCTAGAGCACCCGAACATCGTGCAGTATCTCGGTTGCGAACGGAAAGAATTCTCCATCTCCATTTTCCTCGAGTACATATCTGGTGGCAGTGTAGGCAGCTGTCTCCGCAAAAACGGCAAATTCGAAGAAAGCCTCGTTCGCTCCCTGACCCGTCAGACTCTTGCCGGTCTCGCCTACCTCCACAATGAAGGCGTCCTGCACCGCGACCTCAAAGCTGATAACATCCTTCTCGACGTCGACGGGACCTGCAAGATCTCTGACTTCGGGATCAGCAAAAAAACCGACAACATCTACGGCAATGATGTAACAAACAGCATGCAAGGATCCGTCTTCTGGATGGCCCCCGAGGTCATTCGCTCCGAGGGTCAAGGCTACAGCGCCAAAGTCGACATCTGGTCCCTGGGCTGCGTGGTGTTAGAAATGTTCGCCGGCCGCCGGCCCTGGAGCAAAGAAGAAACTATCGGCGCCATTTACAAACTCGGGTCTTTGAATCAGGCGCCGCCGATTCCGGATGATGTGAGTGACTCGGTTAGCCCGGAAGCGGTAGCTTTTATGTCGGAATGTTTTGAGATTGATCCGGGTGAAAGGCCGACAGCGGAGACGCTGTTAAGGCAACATCCATTCTGTAAGGTTGATCCTTATTATGACTTTTTGGGGACGGAGTTGCATAGGAGAATTAGGGAGGCGAAGGACGATTTCAGGTATAATGGGCAGTATCAGTAAACCGAGGGTTCTCTTCTTCCTGTTGTGAGGTTTCTCACTTGGGTATAAACGTGGGGTTTGTGGGGATAACAGGATAGATGGAGTTTCTCCATTTTATGTTGCGAGCGATGATACCACGTGCTACGATAGTGGGGTGTAAGCGCTTTTCTAATTATGGGACCCCTTACCAATTGTCTCTGCACGCAGATAATGCAAATTGAGAGGGGTAGGGGGAAAATGCGATGGTCTATCATGGGTCAAAGCTTTGCCGGTGACTGCTGCGTCATTCACCTCTCAATCTTCCATTTTAAAGTTGATACGATTTTGAGAAAGGGAGGAAGATCCTCAGTGATCCAGGCTTGATGGAAGAGAAGCTGCTATGGAAAATGCAAGGAGCAAACTAAGTCCTGCTACGAGGAACTCCTGGCAGATATCCATCGAATCAAGAACATGGTCGGCATATGTCATCGCAGGACAGGCGTCTCATCAGCTCGCAGCCTCCTTCAAGTAACGACGCGATGAATCATGGGGATGCGGCTCTCTTCGGCCCTTTGGAGCTTTTGCCAGTGTTGGGAATTAGCTGACTATATCGCGGCTGTTCAACTGTCGGTCTCAGCTTCGGTGTCATAGCCTATACCATAAACAGTCTGATCAGCGTCGTCATAAGGCCGATTACTCGCGTATGTTCCCGTAAAGGTCAGTGAAAGACAGAGGGAGTCTGTTGGTGATGTTTAAGCGGGGGTGATGAGCATGCCGAGTGATACGTTAAGATGGGAGGTAGAGTCGATGTGATTTGCTTATTTGACTGGGGTTAGCCCGAGTAGCATGGCCTTTGAGTGGTTGCGGTTCACGGAGACTGGTTGTTCTGCATCTTTGAGGAGCCCATCTCAGGATCGGCCCGAGATAGGTTCGCCATACTCTGGGAGAACTCTGCTTCAGTATGTTTCTGTTCTCCATATGCAGCTAAGCGTCTAGACAAAGACGGCAAACAAACAGCGCCTAGTCCGCAAACTTCAGTTAACACAATGCAACGGGCCGACAGTTGAACATTGTATGAAACTTTGTTAGGACCGAGATAATGCAACCGATAATGCAAGCATTGTCCATGGGCTTTGCTCTTTCTTGTCATCCAAAAGCAACAATGCCTCTGTCTTATCCAAGAGCAACAATGTCTATGTCTCAATTGTTCCTACATTCTCTATAACAACGCAAGAAAAGTCCCTCACCCCTCAACCTCAGAACCAATCTCCACAAATCCCATCTCTCGACACACATCCAATAACTGACTCACAAGCCAACATGACACACCAAACACAACAGAAACGCTCCCCGCGTCCGCAACAGCTCAAGCGCTCGGAACACATGAATTATACAAGCTTCAAAGATTTGGGTCTCACCAGTCCCGAGCAGGACGAATTCGAGAACCATGGTAATCAAGGTACCGGTCTGCATCAGGAAATGGCAGAGCAGGCTGGCAAAGCGGAGGGCTCCGGTGGGAGGGAAACGGAGATAGTGAAAGGGGAATGTACCAGGCAGAGATCTGGGTCGATGAGGTTGATGGAATGGTTCATGCGGCTAAGGTCTTCTTCTTCGCCTCCTTGAGGTATGGACATGTTTGTCGAGAGGAAGGATAAGTACCCAGGCTATATGTAGGAATCAAGGCTTTCCCTACATCTATCAGAACGCCCTTCTTACCATTGTAGGTCATCTGGGAGGTAAAGTTTGATACGGTCGACCGAGTCTCAATCATCCAATCATCCATTTTTTACCTTTGGTTCTCTATTGCAAGGCTCTTAAAAAGGTCCTTTTTCCATTAGATGCCTTTTAAAACGGGGCTCTCCACCTCAGTCTTCCCCATTGCCGTCCGACTGCATTGGTCCTTCCCTCGTTCTTTTCGAAAGCCGTCTGACCTCACGTGCATGATTAGGAGTGGCAACAGGGCTCGCATGCCAGTTTGATAAAGGCAGATATTCTTGCTTGGGAGTGCTCAGGACGGTTGTGAATGATAAGGTACTGATCTTATCTAAGGAAAAGCGTCTTTTTCTCATCTTAAATCAATTCTTTGTTAAGGCCTCTATAAAACTGATTTCCGTGATCACGCCATCGACACCACCCAACTTGCTAGAAGGTTCCGCCAAAATTGGGTTGGTGTGAGAGGCGGATCTCCATTTCACTTTTTTGTCTGTTTCAAATTAAACTGTAACTTCCTTCTTGATTTCTTCCTGATGTCTGTCTCGGAAGATCATTCAGATATAGCCTAGAGCGACTGTGATTCCCGTAGGATTAACCGCCTCTCAATTGGGCGGCTGTAGAATACGAGTACCTAAGGTACTCGTTGAGTCGTATCTACCTGGGTATGCAATCTCTACAATCTGATAAATCCGAAGTATCATGATCCGTCGTTCCACAACGGTATAAACGAAGTAAACTATTTCATTATGAAGCGTAGAATACGATCTCAAAATTCAAGGGGTTTTGAAAATTGGAGGTGTATTGATAAAACAATATAATAGTGTAATAGAATCTGTCCAAAGTTTTGGGGTTGTATCCCCAAAACCCGCCCCCGGATGTCTCGGATTTTAGTTAGCACTGAGATTACATAGTATGAATAGACCAATCGGCTAAACGTTCTTCCCCTGCCGGTAACCTGTCCTCCGACAGCGCATTTGCTTGCTTGGTTACGGACAACTACCCTCCATTGGTAACCTTTAGCGGCGGAGGAGGTTGAGACAGGGCGTTATAATCCTTGCATTGCTCTTTGTCCTGTGTTGTGAAAGGGACCGCTTACGAGTATGGGCTACACCTCTGGTCTTTCGGCTGTGATGGTACGGGCTCTCTGCTCTCCTACTCGTATACCGCTCGCATGGAGGGGTACGGCATATTCATTCAGTTACAATGATAACTCAAGCCTTTCTGCAACGTCTTCGTGTTACGCCGCCCGTCTCCACCCATGGGTTAGGTTTGATAAAGCCGTCTTCAGCACCTTTGTTCTTACCTTTAGTTTCTCAATTTTTCGTCAAAGTCACTGCTTTTAAATGGAAAAGCTAGGGATCTTTTACATCTTCCTAAGAATGATCCCCAAGGTTCGCGCTATCTGGCGGACCATAGAATTTCATGCAATAGAACCTCGCTGCTAATGCTAGATAGTTCTGGGGATCAAGTTGTAGCTTACTTCGTGAGAACCCAATCGTCTCCAAGACGTCAGACATCCGACACAGAGAAGCCACATGTGCTCATCACTCCCTCGGCCAAATTCTCGGAAATACCCATTTATCACCACTTCGTTGACCAACACTTACACTTTTCAGATACTCTGTGACCTCTAGCGCTAAGCCGGCCTCGTTCGCCCGTCTAATCCATTCTGCATCACTCTGAGTCACAAACTTGACACCGTGCTTCGTTTCCAGATATTCACCCAGTTGGTGAATACCTACCGTCCCGTCATCGTTGCCGCAGTGATTCCTATACTCCACTCTTCCAATACCCTTCCTGGGCCCGGCAACCGCATCATCCGCCATCGCCTGGGCCACGACTTCAACTCCAACGAACTGGAACCAGCCCTCCAATGCTGCCATTTCTGGAACAGAGTGTAGCTGTTCCGCGAAATGCAGCACATTGTGCATGACGTCCAGCCTGGGGGCGTCGAGACCGACTATCGCAGTTGGGCGGTGGACGGTAATATATAACCCTGTCGTGGAGCTGACATTCTCAAGGTAGCTTTCACAGGCCCATTTGGAAATGACATAACCATCCATAGATCCGTTCGGTGGGTAGGCGCCTAGGGGTTCTTCGTACAGCTCCCGCACAGCGAGCGCTGCAACGCCCGCAGTGGAGATGTAGTGGAAGTGCTTGACGTTCTCATACTGGAGCGCGAGTCTGACCAGCTCCTTGGTCGACTGCAGATTGGCGGTTCGGAGGCTGGCATAACTCTTCAGGAACGACACGTCTGCGCCGTTGTGGATGATGGCGTCCGCATTCACGAATATCTGCCTTATACTTTCCTCGGATAGTCCGAGGTGTGGGTGCGTGAGATCCCCAGTGTGGATAGTGACCTTAGAGGAAGTGATACTAGTTAGCTTCTTCGGGTCCCGAACGGCTATACAGTGAATGGCTTTGATCTTCTCCATCGCCGTTAATCTGCGGAGGAGTTCTCGGCCTAGGAACCCAGTGGCTCCCGTTAGGACGACGATGGCACCATCTCGCGGCCAAAGTAGAGACCGAGGGACTTGTACTAGTTTGAGATCGTGATCAAATTTCGTCTCCTCTGGCCAGTCGACGTCGGTAGCTTTCGACGTGTCATCCTCTCTGGTGCTCAGCAACGCCGCCATCTGCGTAAGCGTGCTAGATTGGAAGAGCTTCACCAGGGGCACTGTCAAGCCGAACCGCTTCCTGATCTCTGTCTGCACGCTGATGAGCAACAGGGAGTTGCCACCCACGAGAAAAAAATCAGATGCAGCGTAGACAGTGTGCACCTGCGTCGCCTCGCCCAGAACGGAAAGCCAGATCTCCTTCATCTCCCTTTGACTCTCCGTCTCCTCGGCCCTTGAGGACCCATTGCTCTGACCAATTGGAATCGCCCCAGCTGTTTCTAGCGGCATTTTTGCAATCTCCCTCCGATCGACCTTACCGTGATGATTCAGTGGTAGGGATGGCAGCGTTATAATGGCGGATGGACGCATATAACTCGGCAGTAAAAGTTCTGCCACAAGGCCTCTCAGAAACTCATCCCTGGCACTCCTAGTTCGGTAGCGAGATACCGCTTCAGGCGTCAAGATAACATGCGCTACGAGGAAGGCTGAGCTTGCATCTCCGTTCTCCGATCTACGCATGTGTACGATAGCGTCCGCGATTTCGCCTCGCGAAGCACCAACGATGTTCGCTTCAATCTCCCGCAATTCGATTCGCTGACCACGCAGCTTGACCTGTGTGTCTCCTGCGATACGTGCCTGGACAATGAAGAGGCCGTCAGAGATGCGTAGGTATCCGCGGTCGCCGCTGCGATGCGCGCGCGTCCACCCCATGCCAACGGCCCCGGGTCCCGCCAGCGTGTCGATAGGAAATCGCTCCGCAGTTGACGATGGATTGTTGATGTATCCATTCGCGACACCAGCCCCACCGATGACTAATTGACCTGGAATACCGGCTGGAACGGGATGATCTTGCTCGTCGACGACATAGACCGTGTAGTTAGGCATCACCTTGCCGATAGGCACAGGCATGTCAGTGGAGTCAAGGTTCTGATAGGGGACCTCGTAAACGTGCGGTATGATGGTTTCCGCCGGACCGTAGGCGTTTAGAGTGCGAAGAACAGGCTTGCCCAGCATCTGGAGGTGCTTGGCCAGGCTAAAACCGAAGTCCTCGCCGGCTGAGATGTGCCACACCCAGGATGAATTCCGCAGCTGAGTGAGATCACCATACTGAAGCCAAGACGCTGCCTCAGAAGGCACGGCGAGCGTCATGGTGATCTTTTCTGATGCGATGAGCTTTGTCAGTGCAATTGGGTCCTTGCGAGCTGCTCGCGCGGCAACGAATACTGTGCCTTTAGTGGCGAGGGCGACGAGAGCTTGCCACCAGGACACATCAAAGCTCAGGGCAATTTGCTGGAGCATTATTTGTGGTTGCAGTGGCCATCTGTCAAGGAAGCCCTTTATTGAATTTGTAATCATGCGGTGTGGGAGAGAGATACCCTGCTCGCGTCCCTGAATCAGTTTTCTCATTCTTGTGAAACATAAAAAAGAGATTGAAAGACAAGTTTCGGAAATACACAATTTTCGCTTTGACTGCTCCTTTGGAAGCGAAACTTCTAGATGCGGATGTATACATACCTTAGGAACACCGGTCGACCCGCTTGTGTACAATACCATGGCTTCGTCTTTGGCGATTGGTTTCCGGAGAGAAGGGATCATGACGTGGGCGGACTTCAAAATACTGGAGAGGTTGATCACAGCGTCTGGCTTGTTCCATCCGACTTTTGTGACAAGCGGACGTGTTTCATCATGAACTAGAATGGCTGTCAACTGTGCGTCTTGGACGATCGTTGCAAGACGTTGGGTCCCTTGGCTGAGTTCAAGAGGCACATATGTACCACCAGCCCGCCAGATGCCCAGCATAGAGCATATCCAATCAGCGGTTGGTTCTTGCAGGATGGCGACCCTCGAGTGGGCCGCAATGTTCAGCTCGGCAATGGCCTTCGCAATAGCATAAGATCTCAAGTTCATATCTCTGTATGAAAGGAGGTAGCCGTTTCCGTCTTTCAGAGCAACAGAATCAGGTTGGCGTGAAGCGACGCTGTCGATTTCGTCAAGCATGGTTGTGTCATCGAGATCCAGGTGCACACCTAGATATAACATCTGTCAGAGAATCCTCACTAAACAAATGACAGCTTGGTGGCGCTTTCGAAAGAGAGAATTCAAAGATCCATCCACAAGAGAATGTCTATGGGATGTTTTGGGCCAATATACCCGTAAAGCGCTGCAGAACTCTCTACTTAAAGGAGATGCCCGGGAGCGGTTGCTTCAAAGAAGTGTGCGAAGGGTACTCACCCTGACCCATCTTGAGGGCACGTTCAACATCCACGGTATTGAACATCTGCGGCTCTCCCCCCGGCAATTCGCAGTTATCGGCAAAAGCTTGAACCAGATTAAGGTAGCACTGCAATACCAAATCTGCGTTCTCTTTCTTATACAGACCTTCCTGGACCATGATAGCCACCGAAGCGTTTCCAGA